ATGATACTGAGCATATGAAATCAGGGTTTCCTTCTTTCTATAGACTTTAGTAACTTGACTATGATAGTACTGGGTAGTGGACCTTGCAAACTCAAAGGCTCGAACAGGAGTTTTGTTGACTGGGATCCGCTGTTGATACTCTGGGGAGTGTGCCTATAAATTATATTAATTCAAATATTTAAATATAAGAAAGAATAGTACCTGAGCAAAAAAGTCTTCAATAGCTTGCAATAGCTTCTCTCTTGGTGGCTGGGTCTGGAAAATATTGTATGTCTTTTCTTCAGGATGGATACATGCTTGGTGTAATATTTCAACAGTATGAGAGGTACTAATTCCATTCCAAAGCTTGTTGTTCTTAGACCCGGCAATCTCAGAGTAAATTGTATTGGTCTTGTTGGGATTTCTGAGAGCTTGCTGATATTGAGGAAGGTTGTAGTTGGCCCGGAATACTGGAAAATCCATGATGGGGCATGGAGCCATGGTCTTATCATACCAGGACCAGGTTCCGGAGGCAGTGGTTGTAGGATAGAAGGGAATACAAGTAATCTGAATTAACTTGTTTCTATCCACAAAGGCAATACACATATCAGAGCCAACAACAGCTAACTGAATTGTGACAGAGTCCTTAGAAGTTTCCCAAGCTTCCTTGTTGTTGTCATACTCCTCCCGGGACATAGAAACTGCATGTCCATGAAGTGCAAACTGCCAGTGCAACCAGAAGCCTTCAGATAATATTAGTATACTAGACTGGTAATTTAGTTTAAAGAATTAAAAACAACTTACCTCCATTAATGGAAAGTCCCATAGCTTTCCCCCAAGTCTCTATCTGTTCTGGTTGAAAATGAAACTCAAAATCATCTTTCAGGTACGGCTCCAACATCTCCCTTCCAACAATCTTCCCCTTGCCAATAAACTGTTCATTCAACTCTTGCCTATATAGACCTGCAGGAGTTTGAGCTCTTATCATTCTTGCCATATCCCAGTATGTAAGTCCTTCCGGTATTGTGAAGAGGTAAAGAGGTAGAAGAGAAGGTAGTAGCTAGGAAGTGTGCGTGGTTGTTGATGATAAGACCGGGCGGTAGCATGATTGTCTTTTACACCAAATTTTTTTTGCCAAGATGGGATAAAAGTACCAAATTCTGGTTTTCTGGGACAGTAAGAATTTCGCTTTCTTAACCAATTGGATAAATCTATTGTCTACCTTCCAGGCTATCTCTTAGTATATTTCTTTTATTCATATTACCTTTTTTGCTCTTACAAATTACATTTATATAGCTTTACTTGAGATTTCCGAACGGGCGGGAGCTCGCTTACAGACAAAAGCTCGGGACAAAATCCATGAGGATTACCCGGCCTTAGGTGTTGGGCTAATTAATACCTTAAATTCGTAGCAGCTACCTAACTAACTATAAGTCATATCCCAAATCTGGTAACCAACTTACAGCATTATGGTCCATGGGGTAAGCCAACCCAACACAATCCCGCCGGTCCAGGACGAACCCAGTCCCTTGGGCTGCCAAATTCACTACCACCTCAAAAGGCCCCGCAAACCTCCTCCACATAAGAAAACCAAACAATTATTCTGGGACCAGCCCAGCCTCCCTCAACACCCACGCAAAACAATCTCTCTTTGTCCTCCAATGTATCCGCAACCAGGTTCCCCGCTGGTAAACCTTCCCACAACAACCACATCTCAATACCCCAGGCCAATTTTCATCCGCCCACCTCATCACCAAGGCAGTCTTGTACCCCTCCTCCAAACCTCCCCACCGTTCCTTAATCCCATCCCAAAAACAATTTCTGACAGCCCTCCCACATGTATCCTCCATTCTCGCCAAATGTTGGCCCAGTCCTGACCATTCCGGACTCACGTTGCTGCCACCGCCAAAGTTCCCCCCACACGCCAGGCATCTCATATCACTTTCTTTGATAAGAAACCCCATCCCAACCGGTAGTGCTTTCAAAGGGCGCTTGCATTCCCCATCATGTCTCCTCCCGCAGCCCTCACAGTCCTCCACCCTCCATCTCTCCACCACCTCCTTCCCATTCCTGATGACACAAACGGTACGATCGAAGGGATTCCCATACTTAATCTTGAGGCCCATGTGGTCCTTCATGGTAGACGGTATTCCCATACCCAGGTACTGGCCTTTTCCAGAATCTCAAGAATGGGTAGCTCAGCCCATCCACACCGGGTGCTGTATTACCAGGTGACTTCCGCAACGCCTGGTCTATTTCCGTAGGGTGTACATCGATGTCAACTCTGTCCGTAATCATATCCGTATGTTGGGTTACACCGAGTTGTTCGGCAATCATGTCACTAATGCCCTCGTGGTCCCCCTCTATCAATCCGTCGGTCCTCTGCATGGGTGGGAGGCAACGCCTGGTACTCGTAGGCTTGATGGCGTCGAATGCCTTTACCTCGTTGATCTTCAGGAGTGACTCCTTAATTGCATCATACCTCTTCTGGATAATGTTTCCCCTCAACACACGTCGAATCAGGTTCCACTCCTCCCGGTTCCCCCTCCGTCGGCTCCTCTTGAGATCCCTAACCATTCCCCGGATCTCGTCATCCTCCCATACACATGTCTTCCTGCTCTTTCCCCCTTTCTTCCGTTCCCATGTCTCCATATCCTTCGTAAGATCCGCCCATATTTGTTCCCCGGTCCCTCGGCTGCTATTCTCCAGTTTCTCAGCAACCTTGTTGAAATCGAGTCGCCTCCAGTTGATCATTCCCGGGATGCCATTGTTCCCCGCCACTGCCCAGATGCTATTCAACTGCGCCATGTGTTCCAGGGCCGCCTTATCACTCAGCCGGGTTTTGGGTCTTCGCATCCCCCTCTTCCACACTGTCAGGTCGATAACCGATTTGTCCCTCCAAGTCGGGCACTTTGGTACATGTATCTCCATATTGTTTCTGTCCAACCATTTCGTAATCGACCGTCCGTATGTGTTCGTGGTAGGGTCTCCCCCTCTTGTGCCCCACCGGGGATGTCTCGCGTTCCAGTCCCCGGTTACAATGTCACACCCACTCCATTTCTCAATCCAGCTCTCCAACACTTCCTTGGGTCTGTGGGGTTTCATGTAAACCGCAGCTATCTCCCTCCTGTTCCTCATCCCATCGCAGTACCCCAACCGTACCCCTTCCACATCATGTCCCAATACATCCACCATCCCAACTACCCAAGGCTGGGTATAAACCTCCACCCGACTTCCATCAACCTGAGGCAACAAAACAAAATTATCCCCCTCCTGTTCCACATATCTCCCTACATCCACCTCCGGTGGGTCAACTATAAATACAATGTCCACCCAACTATATATATCCAGCACCAAACTCCTATTTCCTATGCCGCCCCCAACATTTATCGTACAGCATGTGACCTCCATTAATTAATAATGGGTGTCGTATCCCCTTTCTGTGTCCCCAGTTCCGAGTCATGAACCAGGACAATACCTTCTCTCCGCGGTCCAGTCGTTGTCGACCTCACGGCATCCTTCCCAACGTTGGTCACAATGGCGTCCACCATCGGTGCTACTCTCCTGAAACCATCGGTCCTTCGGGCATTCCAATTTCCTGCACGGTCCAAGACACCGGCAGTTGTCATGTTGTCCCCACCCGCCGCAGATCTCGTCCCGTAGTTTGCTGTTCGGCTCTTCCTTTGCAGTACGCTGCAGCCTTCCCATCCTCCATAGTGGCTTTTCTCCCCACACAGGCAGCATTCACGCTCGTGGTGTTCACACCTGTTGCTGATGCACCCCGATAGACAAACGTGATCCTCGGAATGGTGATTGTCCCTGCACCACCGGCAAACTGGGTTCCCCTTGCATTGTTCCTCCCTATGGCCGACCGTGATACACTTGCCGCAAACGATAACAGGTTCGTTCTCCCGCCACAATCGAATACTCTTGGGTTGGCCCTGCACATACAGGTGGCCGTCCCTCTTGTTCAGTAGTCCTTTAATGTTACTGTTCTCCTCCACAGTTAACACCAATCCCGCATGCGTGACCCCCCTGCCCCGTAGGCCCTCGAGTTTCCCTGCCCAGCTTAGTCTACCCCCAATGTGAATGCTAAGATTTTTCGTTGCAACGCGAAGTTCTATTTGCACCTCGGGTACGTTTAACCCGCCGTACAGGCTCCCACATTTCCCCTGCCGTAGTCCAATCAGCCCCACCATTCCGATGACCAAGAAGTGATCTTGCCAAGCCCAAAACCCGCACCCCCCGAGCATCAACCCCTGTTGCGATTCCAGGTTCTAACTTTGACACAGTTATGAACCCGCGGATGAATATGCTTCCGTCAGGGCCTGGACCTCAGGATTCAGGCTTTACCGCTCAACCAACCACCCGAGACAGTGAAGTGCTCGCGTAAGTTACGGTAGGTATCCGATGAACGCGTGGAACAAAGAAGTTTCCATCCGGATGGCCACTCTTGGTACAGGTGCAAGTGCACTGTATCGGAAGACATGGATAGTACTATGAACAGTGCAATACCGTATTATCTGCTATTATCCGGTTTTCTGCCAAGCCTTGATCTGCATGGCGACAATATCAGACAGGGGTCCTGAAAACCCTAACCCATCACCTCAGAGTCTTCGCATTTGAGTGACCGTTGCACTCTTTTCCTTGCAAATACCAACACCATCCTTCCCCGCCAACCCCCCCGGGACTGAGAGATGACAAGATGAAAACAAAAGTTAATAATAATGCTAATATACTCTGCAGGTTTTTAAGCTACCCATGACACCTGCTACTAACAACTGTGGTGTGCCAGCAGGGAGGCGGGAATAAAAAGATAAAAAAAAGGGAGAGGGAAAGGGGCCTCGGTGTAATAACATCGGGGTCCAATAGGGTGAGACCAATACTAACTATCAGAGAGTGTGACTGTATACTAACATATTATTAGGAAAAGTCAACTGTACTATGGTAGAGAATTGTCAACTCTTAGTATCTATTATAGAAAAATCGATAATATCTCCACCGTTTGAAGGGCTTGCGAGTCAATCGCCGGCTGTATGCTGCTCACTTCCTGTGTTGTGGTAGCCTTCACACTGCCAAATGTAGTAAAGGCTGTCATACTCAGATGTCTCTACTAGGAGACTACAATGGCTTTGGGAAGGCTGATTGCACTGTGGAATAGGAAGATCTTGAGCCCAATCTCCAATATCAATATCAGCGGGGGCGAAGCCTTTGATCTTGAGTTGATCATCATGACTACCGTCAATAGGTAAGGTCACACCAACATCTCGAAATGCCTTAACAATCAGGTGTTGTTTCTGTTGACAAAAGGCATTCCAGGCTCGTGAGACTACATGAGTAGTCATGATTCGTTTCTCGCTAAATGTCCCCTTTCCGATGTCTTTGACTGCTGCTCACTCATCCAGGTAGGTCTCTGTTTCCTCTCTCAGATACTCCTTGAATGGCTTATTGACTGCAGTATCTAATGGTTGCAACAAGCCAGTACATCCGCCGGGTATAATTGACGGTACGATATTGTTCTCTCGAAGCGCAGTAAGATTAGTGCCAGTAATATGGAATGCGGCCAGATCCATTAAGAGAAGGCTGCGGGATTAAACGAGGTAAGTTTTGTTCTGATTGATATTGGCTGGGGGGGGCTGGTGATTTGGTGTAAATAGATAAGGTGTATTTAGTGCAGGTATTAATTCTTGATGAATAAACCGATTAAAGAGTCCTTCATTGTTGTAAGCTGTTTCGCTGAATTCTACCGTTACGTTCTTGGACCATTTATGACCCTCATTTTGTACAATCGTATCACCCGTTTTCGCATGAAAGATTAACTTTGGTTTGATCTGTGATATACCATCAGCAAAGATATAGAGAACCAAGGTTGCCTGGCGCTTATTCCAGCCGCTGCCATCTGTTTTTCCTCCTATTGTGCGTGACCCCTTAATATCGTATGTCCATCCATCTAAATATTCAAATAGAATTAGTGTTTCATCTAAATTGAGAATGTTGCTTAATCGGTAGCACCCAATATCTGAGGTGAGACCTTCCCATTCGAGTGAAAACCATGGTTGAGAATTACGCCAATTGAACCGGAGCCAATTAACTACTAGTCGTCTATACTCTTCTGGTAACTTAGATGCCTTTTTCATTAAGGCTTGGCAGGAAATATTCCAACGTCATAGAAATCTGTTAAACCATCCAGAAGAAAAGACAAAAAGATGGGGATCTGTGACCCCATAGTGTTTCTGAAACAGTGTAGTTGCTGTATGGCGAAACCACCCTCTTCTGACCAACCGGCCACTTTCTCTTTGGGTAATAAAAGAGCAAAAAAGCTCTTTCTTTATCCCCGGCCACGCACATCTCCAGCTGTTAACTGTATTGCGCCAAGAGCTTGTTTTCATTTCCAAAATCACATCCTGCTTCGCCCACCACTCTTGGATTGTGTTCTCTGGAATCTTCCAATATGATGCTGCCTCAGCATTCGTCGGACGTCTATATTCGCCATCAAGGTTGCTATTACTGACAGGAACGCGATGGTGGATCAGAAACATCAAAACTTCTATTTTGCGTTCATGACTATAGGTTCTGCGTACTCGCTTAATTGGTCCCTGTAGCTTGCATACTCAATTTGCTAGTGGTTTTGGCTTGGGACCTGGTCGTGATCGTGCGCGCGGACTTCGTATGGTAACTGGCCGGGATCCTGGATTCCGTATATTGATAGCGCTAACTCTTAAAGGGTATAAAGGTGTAGGTGATGCTATCACTTGAGAGGAAAAACAGAGCAAAAAGATAAGAAAACAAGCAATAATAGTCTTAATAGTCATCTTGGTATACTCCTTTTTAGCGAGATGCATATTATAAGCTGGTGGAGATTGGCTTGTAGTTCACATTAAAGTTAGCTGAAACATTATGTTGCAATAAACTAATCCAGATTAGGCTACAATATTGCGAAATGTTGTCGCAATAGTCTTGGCAGAAAACCGGATAATAGCAGATAATACGGTACTCTGCTTCAGTTTTCTTTCACGCACTACTACACCTGAGCGCCCTTGTTTCCGAGCCGGTAACTTGATTATCGCTGCCTTTCCTCGCTTATTTTATACTCTAGTACACCCGTCGCCAGGAGTCATGCATTCATGCCGGCGTGTCCAGAGCGCGGACTGTAGACTATCCAGTATCGGTACCGGTACCGGTATTTGGGTAGCGAACCATCCGATACAATGCCACGTGGTGCACTGACGTCCCTCAAACCTACAAGTACTCGTACAACACCGGTACTCGAGTACCAGGCGCCGTTAACAGGGTCGACGCTGCACCCATTTCGGATCTCGCGAGGCATGCGAGATAGATCCCTCGGTAGAAGCGTCGGTGAAATGACTTCCCTACCGGGACACAAAAAAAAACAATGACCTTGGCTGATTGTAGTTGACGAGCCAACGCATATTCTTTCGATTGGCCTTGTATGTTTTAATCATTATAATCTCTACATGCCTTGGTATCGAACCCAGTGTAATCAGGAGGGTGAAATTTGGCATGTTCTGGGGCGCAGTTTTCCATCTTGCCATAACGCCGGTATTGTCAACCTTGAAGACCCCCATTATAGGCGCCAGCAAGGTGAATTTGGATAAAGTTCGTGATTTCCT